AAACTACTCCTACTCAGACCTACTCATACTCAGACTTACTCCTACTCAGACTTACTCATGCTGAGACTCACGCACGCCCCGTTCGCGGCCGTGTTGTGGGGATGTCTCAAGCGGTTTGCCTGTTTTCTGTCCCAACATCCTTCGCTTTCGGAGCAGATTTGGAGGATGTCTCGAGCGAGGCGCTCATGTTCACCCCCCTAACGGGAGCCGCCAAGGGTTATCTCACGGTCCCGTTCGCGGCCGGTTTGTGGGGATGTCTCAAACGGTTTGCCTGTTTTCTGTCCCAACATCCTTCGCTTTCGGAGCCGAGTTGGAGGATGCCTCGAGCGAGGCGCTCATTCTCACTCCCTGAGGGGAGCCGCCAAGGGTTATCTCACTGTCCGGTTCGCGGCCGTTTTGTACGGATGTCTCAAACGGTTTGCCTGTGTTCTGTCCCAACATCCTTCGCTTTCGGAGCCGAGTTGGAGGATGCCTCGAGCGAGGCGCTCATTCTCACTCCCTGAGGGGAGCCGCCAAGGGTTATCTCACGGTCCCGTTCGTGGCCGTTTTGTGGGGATGTCTCAAGCGGTTTGCCTGTTTTCTCTCCCAACATCCTTCGCTTTCGGAGCCGAGTTGGAGGATGCCTCGAGCGAGGCGCTCATTTTCACCCCCCTAACGGGAGCCGCCAGGGGTTATCTCACGGTCCCGTTCGCGGCCGTTTTGTGGGGATGTCTCAAGCGGTTTGCCTGTTTTCTCTCCCAACATCCTTCGCTTTCGGAGCAGATTTGGAGGATGTCTCGAGCGAGGCGCTCATTTTCACCCCCCCAATGGAAGCCGCCAAGGGTTATCTCACGGTCCCGTTCGCGGCCGTTTTGTAGGGGATGTCTCAAGCGGTTTGCCTGTTTTCTGTCCCAACATCCTTCGCTTTCGGAGCAGATTTGGAGGATGTCTCGAGCGAGACGCTCATTCTCACCCCCGTGTGGAGCTGCCAGGGGTTATCTCACGGTCCCGTTCGCGGCCGTTTTGTGGGGATGTCTCAAGCGGTTTGCCTGTTTTCTGTCCCAACATCCTTCGCTTTCGGAGCAGATTTGGAGGATGTCTCGAGCGAGGCGCTCATTTTCACCCCCCAGGTGGGCCAGATTTTGAGGATGTCTCGATCGGAGGCCAGACTCGTGGGCACAGATTCCCCTCAGGATGCCACAGGAGGCTCCAACAGGCTCCAGGAGGCCCCAGGAGACCACATGAGGTCCCAGGAGGCATCAGGAGGCCGCAGAAAGACGCAAGAGGCCACAGGATGTCCCAAGAGGCTCTAGGAGGCCCCAGGAAGCTCCGGGAAGCCTCAGGAAGCCCCAGGAGGCCCCAGGAGGCCAGAGGAAGCGCCAGGAGGCCTCGGAAGGCAACAGGAGGCCCCGAGAGGCCCCAGGAGCAGGAGGCCTCAGAAGGCAACAGAAGTGGCTCCAATCCCATGTGTTTTACGTATGCTCCTATAGATTGGGCCTCACCTGGAGCACGAATCCTTGATGTTATACGTATGTTTCTATAGATTGTCCTTCTCCTGTGTACTATTGTTCCTATAGGGCCTCTCCTGGGGCACGAGTCCTTGGTGTTTTGCGTGCGTTCCTATAGAATGTCCCATTCTCCTGTGGCTCCAATCCGCAATGTTTTATGTACGTCTGTTGCTATAGATTGAGCCTCTCCTGGGGCACGAATCCTCCCTAGGAGGTCCCAGGAGGCCCCAGGAGGCCCCAAGAGGCTCCTGGAGGCCCCAGGAAGCCCCAGTAGGTTTCAGGAGGCCCCAGGAGGCCCCAGGAGGACCCAGGCTCATGCGCAGAGACGCGCTCGTACTACTGAGGCTCATTCACACTCCAATTCATTCTCAGTTAGATTCATGACCAGGCCGTCACAACTGAAGCCCGTTTATATTCGAAAGCTCTTGCGCCTAGACATTCACGGCGGACAGGTCCATGCGAATAGATGCACATATGGGGAGCTCCACGCAATGAATAATTTCTTGGACGCCGCCGACTTCTCCTCCCTCTTCTCCTTCTCCCCCCCTCTCCTCCTCATACCCAGATCTGACTCACACTCAGACTTACTCATACCCAGACCTACTCATACACAAAACTACTCCTACTCAGACCTACTCATACTCAGACCTACTCCTACTCAGACTTACCCGTTCGCGGCCGTTTCGTGGGGATGTCTCAAGCGGTTTGCCTGTTTTCTGTCCCAACATCCTTCGCTTTCGGAGCAGAGTTGGAGGATGTCTCGAGCGGGGCGCTCATTTTCATGTCCCTAAGGGGAGCCGCCGAGGGGTTTTCTCACGGTCCCGTTCGCGGCCGTTTTGTGGGGATGCCTCAAGCGGATTGCCTGTTTTCTATCCCAACATCCTTCGCTGTCGGAGCAGATTTGGAGGATGTCTCGAGCGAGGCGCTCATTCTCACCCCCCTAAGTGGAGCTGCCAGGGGTTCTCTCACGGTCCCGTTCGCGGCTTTTTTGTGGGGATGTCTCAAGCCGTTCG